TAAGAGCACTAGCCTTGAGCTGAAGAGCTGAGGGACAGTACCTAGGCCCAGAGTTCAAGCCCCATGACCGACCCAAAAAAATTTTTTTTTAATTTGTTGGGATTATTTTATATTCTGTAAGTTATTTTGGAAGTCTAAAGCTGTTTTAATGCTTTCTGCTGATGTTTGCCTATAGGAACTTGTTTCCTTGTTTGTTGTCTTCTGTGTGTGTGCGCGGGCGGGCGTGTGTGTGTGTGTGTGTGTGTGTGTGCGCGCGCGCGTGCGTGCGTGCGTGTGTGTGTGTGTGTGTGTGTGTGTGTGTGTGCCACTCCTGGGACTTGAATTTAAGGCCAGGGTGCTGTCCCTGAGTTTTTTTGCTCAAAGTTAGCACTCTTATCACTTAAGCCACAGCTCCACTTTAGGCTTTTTGGTGGTTAATCAGAGATATGAGTCTCATAGACTTTCCTGTCTGAGCTGGTTTCAAATTGTGATCCTCAGATCTCAGCCTCCTGAGTAGCTAGGATTACAAGCGTGAGCCACCAGTGCCTAGCTACATTTTATCTTAGGGTTTTGAACACATACTTTGTTTAACGTTGTGGGAACCCAAGGGCCCAAATTAGGGGTGTTTTCCTCTAGAAAGAATTTGTACTTAAGTCTCACCAGGTTGTGCCCCTTACTTGGGATTGTTTCAGCCTCTTCCTAGAGTACAGGGTTAAGCCAGGCACTGGCTCTCCTAGTTATTCAGGAGGCTGAAATCTGGCCAGCTACCCTAGAAGTTTGCTACACACTATCTCCAAAATAACCAGCAAAAACAGGGCTGGAGGCATAGCTCAAATAGTAGAGTACCATCCTGGAAATCGCAAGGGACTGAGTTCAACCCAGTACCACTAAGGAAAAAAAAAATACAGTCCAGGTTTAGAAGGCTTAGGGTATAGCTCACTGGCAGAGTGCTTATCCAGCATGTCTGTGGCTCTGGGTTGGAGGTGAGGGTGAAAGTCCAGATTTAATTTAGGAGTTCCAAGTTTTTAACCCTTTACTTAGCTGATCCATGGTTTACAGAATTCACAACATTGATTTAGGCATTCATTTGTCCTCAAGGCAAACCTGGTTCTACCACATGTTGCTCATCTTTTGTGAAAGCTTCAGCTTAATGATATATATTTTTTCTCCGTTAGTATTTTCCCTTTTTTAATTAGCGCAGCAAAGTGGTAACAATTATGCTATTGCTATAATTGACCCAGAAGGTACTTGCATTTTAACAGGAGAGTGCTCCATATTATTCATGCTGCTAGGAATCTATTAACGAAGTTGTAACGTTTTCTCCTTTGTTTTTCTAAATGTTTGGCACTTGCTTTACAGCAGCAGCATCCTGAGATTCTGTCTTCAAACATTCTAGGTGGGAAGGTAGAGAAGTTAATGATGATCACACAGAGTATGAGTTCCATGCACCCAGGGCTGTGTAGGGCAGAGGAATAGCACTCAGGTGAAAAAGGTATCTTGCTGGTAGAGGTAAATAGGAGTTAGAAGGTCAAGTCTAGTTATAAAGCAAAGGCAAAGGTAAGCCCAGTGCTTGTGACTCATGCCTAATCTTACCTACTCAGAGGCTGAGATCTGAGGATTACAGTTCCAAGCCAGCCCAGGTAGGGAAGTTTGTGAGACTCTTATCTCCAATTAATCATCAAAAAGCCAGAAGTGAAGCTGTGGCTCACGTGGTAGAGAGCTAGCCTGGAGCAAAAAGAAGCTCAGAAAGCAGGTGGCTCATGCCTATAATTCTAGCGACTCAGGAGGCTGAGATCTGAGGATCACAGTTCAAAGCCAGCTCAGGCAGAAAAGTCCCTGTGAGACTCTTATCTCTAATTAGCCACTCAAAAACCAGAACTGGTGCTGTGGTTCAAGTGGTAGAACACTAGCTTTGAGTTAAAGAGCTCAGGGACAGAGCCCAGGCCCTGAGTTCAAGGCCCACAACTTCCAAAAAAAAAAAGGTAAAAAGAAGCTCAGACTGCACTAAGGCCCCGAAAAGCAAAAATAACATAGGCATATGGTGAAAAACAGTAAGAGCTACTGTTTTGAGAATCTCAGAGAACTGTAAATGCAGGGACATCAGTTTGAGCTGAGTAATCTGGGAAGGCTTTGTGGGAAACTTAAGGCTTGGAGGTAAAGTGAAATCTAGTAGAGCATTTTAGAAAACGGTGGGGATGTGGCATGGTATGGTAACCTAGGAGAGACATGATTAGGAGAAATATATAAGTACAATGGTGAGGGCTAGGAATGTGTTAGAGTGCTTGCCCTAGCATGCATGATGCCCTGGGTTTGATTCCTCACTACCACATACACAGAAAAAGCTGGAAGTGGCGCTGTGGCTCAAGTGGTAGAGTGTTAGCCTTGAGCAAAGGAAGCTCAAGCAGAGCGCTGGTGGCTCACACCTGTAATCCTAAATACTCAGGAGGCTGAGATCTAAGGATGGCTGTTCAAAGCCAGTCTGAGCAGGAAAGCCCAGGAGACTCTTATCTCCAATTAACCACCAGAAAACCGGAAGGGGCGCTGTGGCTCAAGAGGTATAGCTCTAGCCTTGAGCTGAAGAGCATAAGGACAGCATCCATACCAACTTCAATCCCCACGACCAACCAAAAAACCCCAACAGACAATCGTGAGAAACTGGAAGAGCACCTAGCATTATAGTTATTTGTTGTTTGAAAGAAACTGAATTTTTAAAAAAAGTGAGAAGTTGGTATTAGTGTATGGAGAACTGGAGTCTAGAGCTGTTGACATTATCCATGTAGGAGCAGATGAGGGGCTGACCCTGACGCTGACATTAGAAGTGATCAGCATAGGGAAAAAGAAATCACTGGTAATAAGATATATAGAAGCTACCTAGGAAATATCCTCACCATGACTGGGGATAGGACATCTCTATTCACTGGAATACCAGACCATTGGATGATTTTGAGATTTGTGTGGATTTTAAAGTAGCCTCATGCACCCTATTGTTAAAATGGAAGATGAAACAGGTTACTTCTGCATAGTTGAAACAACCTTCAGTTTATTAGATGAGTAGCTGAACTTAAGATTGTGGAGTTGCCGGGCGCTGGTGGCTCACGCCTATAATCCTAGCTACTCAGGAGGCTGAGATCTGAGGATCGCGGTTCAAAGCCAGTCC